CTGGACAGCGAGGGGTTAAGTGGAAGAGGGGAGGACCAGCCTTGTCTTAAAGGGCCCTGGGAGGGAGGCTGAGGAGGGGGAAGGGGACCCTGGTGGCTGTGCCCCCAACCCCGGGCCAGTGAGACGGGGAGGCTGTGTGTCTCTCTCTCCGGGGCTCTGGGCGCTGTCCCTCTGGGCTCTCTCCGAGTCTGGTAAACATTCCTCTAGGGCTCCATTCGCCTCTCACGATACGCCCCTCTCCCGCCTCCGCCCCCAGCCCAGCCCCGGCCAGGCCTCCTTGGCCCTTCACTCCCCCTCACTCTCAAGGCTCCTCAGACAAGGACACACAAACACACACACACTCAGATGTCGTAGACACACAGAAGCTGGGACAGGCAGAGACACGCAGGAGGACGGGGACACGCAGGGGCATGCTGCTGGCCCGCAGACACACACCAACAAGCTGGGTCAGGAGCTCCACTCCCAGAGAAATCTCAGAAACGGGAGGGCGGGAGGGTGTCAATGGGGAACACTGCCTCAGAGACACAGGGGTCTTCAGACACACCAAAACCCACCCGGGCACATAAATGGATCACCAGTGTACAGGTACACACAGGGGCGCCCACAGTCCCAAGGTGGAATCGCAGCTCTACCACTGTGACCATGGATAAGTGGCCTCCTGAGCCTCGGTTTGTCCATCTGTAAGATGGGAATAAGAATCGAGTCCCTTTAGCCAGCTAGTGGGAGGATGCTCTGGGTCAAAGCGCATGTGGTTCTTTGTGCGTGGTGACCACCATTAACAAGATGCCCACGTTTTCTTGCATCTCATCTCTGTTTCTTTGCACAGGTGCTGTTCTCTGTGTACTCTGGTCCTTGCAGATCTGGTGTCTTTGTTCTTGTTTTTTTTTGAGTCTGAGTCTCACTCTTGCTCAGGCTGGAGTGCAGTGGCACAATCCTGGCTCACTACAGCTTCGACCTCCTGGCTCAAGCGATCCTTCTGCCTCAGCCTCCCTGAGTAGCTGGAACTACAGGCACAGCCGGCCAATTTTTGTATTTTTTGTAGAGACGGGGTCTCGCTATGCTGCCCAGGCTGGTCTTGAATTCCTAGGCTCAAGCAATCCTCCCACCTTGGCCTCCTGAAACGCTGGGATTATAGGCGTGAGGCACAGCCAGTGGGTTGGTTCAGCTGCATGTCCATCTCTGTGTCTGTGTGTGTTTTGCACATGGAGGGAGGAGGCTCTGCATGCTTGGGTGTCTGTGCAGGAGAGGGCTAGGTGTCCATCTCTCTGCTCTTGGCCATTTCTCTTTGGAGGCTGGTTTCCCTATGGCGTGTCACCAAGTCCTGTCTATTTGGTCACTGTTGTCTCTCCCATCCGCCCCCTTCTCTACACCCCTACCTGGTCATCTCTTCTCCTGCCCCCACTTTCACTCCCCTGTAGCATCCAGAGGGATGTTTCTGAAAGTCAGATCCGCCCCTTCCCTCGCCTGCTTCCCCATGGCTCCCCTCAGGGTGAGCTCCAGCTCCTTGCCCACCAGCCCCTCCAGGCCCTTCACCATCAGCCTCCCCAGGGTCTTCACCATCATCCTCTTCATCATCAGCCTGCCCAGGCTGCCTCATTTGTGTCCAGTCTCAGTGGTGGCCCCAGCATCCATCTTGCCACCTGATCCTGAGCCCCGAGATCCTTTGGACATCCCCACCCTGCACTCAGTTACCAAGTTCCGAGGAGGATTCGGTTTCACAAACCTCCCTCCCGCCTCCCTCGTCCCTCTCCATAGCCTCACCCCAGTCCAGCCCCATCCCCTCCTGCCTGGGCCCCAGCTCTGGCCTCCTCCCTGGGCTGCCAACCTCTGCTTTTGTTCCTTCCAGTCTGTCTCCCACTCAGCAGTTAGAGGGATGCTTCTCAATCCCAAATAAAACCATCCAGGGCTCAGGCAATCCTCCCGTCTCAGCCTCCCCAGTAGCTGGGAATACAGGCACGCACCACCATGCCCAGCTAACTCTAAATTTTTTGTAGAGACAGGGTCCTGCTATGGTGTCCAGACTGGTCTCAAACTCCTGCCCCAAACCATTCAGATAAAACCCCAAACTCCTTATGCCCACGTGACCTTCCCTTGCCCCTCCTCTGACTTCTCTTCACCCCCTCCCACCCCTTTCTCACTCCAGGAACCTCCTCACAAACTTTGCGACATCCTCCTGTAGAACTTTGTCCCTGTCTCCATCTTGTCCTCTCTACCGCATCACTGCCTGGTCCCTCCCAGTCTAATCTAGGTCCCCAAGTTCTCCACTCCCAACACCCCGTCCTTTCCCTTGGCAACCCGGTGCATGGGTTGTCATTATCTATTTATTGGCATGATTATGTGTCTCATGTCTGTCTCCTCTGGCTGGTCTATGGGCTCTGTGGGGGCAGGGACTGGGTGAATCTTGGTCACTGCTACATTCCCACCACCCTATAAAAAGCCTACCGTACAGGGGACAATTAATAATTGTGACATTTTTGAGGGGTGCAAATATTTGCAAAGGTCTGCTCACTTGTTGAGATATGGTGGGGGTCCCTCCTGCCTATTTAGGGCTCAGGGGACCCAGCTGGATGCAAGGCCCACTTCAATCTGTGAATGCATTCACTCAAGAACTATTTGCTGGCCGGGCATAGTGGCTCACACCTATAATCCCAGCACTTTGGGAAGCTAAGGCGGGAGGATTGCTTCAGACTAGCCTTGGCAGCATAGTGAGACCTCATCTCTACAAAAAAATAAAAAAATTAGCTAGGGGTGATGGCATGCACCTGTAATCCCAGCTACTCTGGGAGGCTGAGATTGGAAGATCGCCTGAGCCCAGGAGGTTGAGGTGCAGTGAGCTGGGACTGCATCACTATACTACAGCCTGGGTGAAAGTGAGACTGTTAAAAAAAAAAAAAAAAGTGTGTGTGTGTGTGTGTGTATGTGTGTGTGTATAATAAGTTGTTTTTTTTTTTTTTCTTTTTTGTATAAGTTTAAGGGGTATAAGTGTAATTTTGTTACATGGAAATACTGTGTGGTGGTGAAGTTCAGGCTTTTACTGCAACTATCAATTGAATAATGTACATTATACCCATTAAGTAATCTCTCCTCCCCTCTCACTTTCCAAGTCTCCAATGGCTGGTTGACAGTGAGACTCTGCTACATGTGTACACATTATTTAGCTCCCACTTAGAAGAGAGAACATGTGGTATTTGACTTTCTGTTTCTGAATTATTTTAAGATAATGGCCTCTGGTTTCATCCATGTTGCTGCAAAAAACATGATTTCCTTCTTGTTTATGGCTGAGTAGTATTCCTGATCTGATTTTTTTTTTTTTTTTTTTTTGGTTGGAGTCT